AAAAAAAAGTAGATCTAGCACTTGAGGCTGTGGTGTAGTGGTTAGGTATGCTGGGATGAAGGTTGGACCTTCAGAGGTCCCTTCCAACCCCGAACATTCTGTGATTCTGTGATGGGTTTTTTCAGCGCGGTCTTTCCAGTCGTGTTTTAGAAGCGCATCAGTTTTGCTTGATCGTGTTTTATGTTTTACCTCCTCTGCCGTAAAAGATTAACCCCTGCATAATTTGTCTGTGCCGCAGATGGGACGTGGCATGGCGAATTTACGGATCACCAGGCTCACCTCATGGCTCAGGAATCACACCAAGGCGGGACCGAGTCGGACTGCATGGGCGGCCACATGGGCCATAAACCGGCCCTCAACGTCCCTGATTTCCTTCCGGCCATGCAGAAGGCCCTTTACGCAAGGCTTAGTCAAAAGCATCAAAGAGATGGAGACTCCATGAGCAGCCAGGGTCAGAGGGCGATGAGCAAAGACGAAGGTGAAATAATTTTGCCAGAGTTCTTGTTCTTAGCAACTGCATGTTAGCCCAGAGCAATCTGTCAACTTGGGTTTTCATTGCGTTACTGTTCGCAGTTATTGTGAACCTGCAGGTACCAGCTCAAATAATATTTGCAGCTGAATACATGTGCTTTCCTTCCCAGGTTGTTCCAGGATTTTAGTTTAGGCTTAGGTGCTGCATTCCACTTCCAGGTGGAAGGATCCGTGGATAACTGGCGCTGAGGAAATGCGTGTTATTTTGCGTTTAATTAGATGCCGGGGACAGTAGTGGCTTCGATCTTTGTTCCTTATTTCCTTATTTCTTCCCATCACGAATCCTGACCTCTCCCCAAGACCTTGTGATCTGGGATGTAGGAAGGCAGCAAATACCACATTTGTAATTTATCTGCTTTAAAAACTACCGGAAAGTGCCTATTACTTTTTTTCCTGCCATCCCACAACAAAGGTTGTTTTCATCAAGATTCAGATTTTAAATACTTTTCACTAGTACTGGTAGAAGTAATTGTTTGAAACCAGGTTAGTTTCCCAGGTTAATATTGACAGAGAGGTATGTGGAGAGTTTGGGAGTACCTCAACTGGCCACAGGTTTTTTTTATGTCAATTCTTCACCGCAACTGATTTTTAGTCACTTTAGATTATGGTTGTTTTAATTCAGAGAGTGACAACATAATATCAGGGGGTTTTCCATTTGATTTTACTGCGAAGGTACCCTTTATATGAGCAAATATGTTGTATTCCCTGGTGATCATTCGCTTGAGTAATTTTTTAATTTTTATTTTTAGACGACAATGTCAACTGGTATTCCAGTAGTGAAGAGGAGGAGGGAAGCAGTGTTAAATCGATCCTGAAAACCTTAAAGAAACAAAGCGAAAACTTTCGGAACCGGCAGCAGCATTCCGCGGAGCAGCACATGCTCGGAATTCCAACCGACCCGAGGCTGGCCAAAGAAAAAGGACCCCAGGCTGCCGACCCAAGGCTTCGAGCCTCACCCAGGTCCAACCCCAGGAAGCCTTTGGAGTCGTCCTCCGTGGACCCGCGGCTTACGCGGGACCCCAGGATGCACAAGGTCAGCGAGGGCGCCCATGCCAGCTCGTCCCTTGGGGGAGTCAAGCTGGATTTACACCACAGTGTCAAAGTCAAGCAGAAAGGGATGGACGATGACGAAGAGGACTCAGAAAGGGAGCTGCGAGAGCGAGCTTTCCTGATCCCCTTGGAGCCTTTGCCTGGCGTGACGTTACGGGATCCCCGGTCTCAGCTCCGGCAGTTCAGCCACATAAAAATGGACGTCACCTTGATGAAACCCAACTTTGCGAAACACATCGTGTGGGCACCTGAAGACTTACTCCCCATCCCTTTGCCTAAGCCCGACCCTGTCTCTTCCATCAATTTACCGCTTCCCCCTCTCATTGCCGACCAGAGACTTAACAAATTGCGCAATTTGAAAAATGACCCCCACCCAAATGCGCTGCCGGCTGACCCACGGCTCGCCGCCAAGGCCAAAAACAGCTTGACGGGCAGGAGTGGCTATTTGGACCCGTCGGCGGATTCACACGCCAGCAGCTCGAGCAAACTGGGAGACCCTCGTTTGCAAAAAAATGTTGATCCCCGGCTCCACAGACTGTCGAGTGCCGAGACACATCACGGAGTCGCAAAGGATTCGCACCCGCCCAAGTTTGACCCCCGCCTCGCCCGATCCTCTGCCAGCGCATCGCAGCCCTCGGAAGCCACGACTCCTAAAGCTGACGCGGACGCTCTGCCTCCCTACGCGCCCAAATTATCCTCGAGCGGTGTCAGGCTGGGAAGCCCCAGCTCGATCCTGAGCGGGATTAGCTTGTACGATCCAAGAGATCATGGCTCATCATCGTCGGATGCGGCTCCGGCTGGTTCGGGCGAGAACGGCGAGAACCAGAAAAAAAGCATTTTGAAAAACTCTGCTAAAAATGAAGCCGGCCTCTCTGAAGAGACATCACTGCAGAAAGCCGCCTTGACCACAGAAAAAACTATGGAGGGATCGTCGGAAGCTGCGTCGGATAAAGCGAACGCCACCGGTAAATCTCAGGCGAAACACTCCAGCGCTGCACCTGCGGTGCATAATCTTCCTATCCAGGCTTTGTCAGGATTAATCAGGCCGCAGTACAGCGACCCGCGGCAGGGCAGGCAGCCTGGGCAGGTCGCTCAGCCGCAGGAGAGCGATCCCAACGGGGAATCGGATGATAAGTCCTTAAAAGATGTTTTCAAGACTTTTGATCCGACCGCTTCGCCGTTTTGTTAGCGATTGATTTGAAGTCCTTTTTACCGTTGTGAATATTGCAGTTCTCTGCTGTTTTGTAACTGGTTTACCTCTTTTGCTTTATTTATTTTTAAATTATAATTATCAACACTTTTCAGCTGCTAATCTCCGAACCACACGCAGTTATACAGTACGCTATAGTGTTTGCGAAGCTGTGGTATTTTCTATATAATACTTTTCCAGTTTCAGGGAGACTAATAATTGACACGTATAGAAGAAAACAACCAACGAGAAACAAACCCCACATATTATGTTAGAGCTGAGAAAAGCACTTTCATTGTAAATAAGTCATTAAGGAAGTCCAAGGAGCTGTATATGTGCGAGCTGTCTCTTTCATAAACAACATTTAGATATGTTTGCCACATTTGTATGATTGTATAGATCCAAGCAATATTATAATATGATGTACATTACTGTGAGAGACGCTGTTTGATGACGCATCAAGCCAAACCTCCGAACTGATTGCAAAACCTGCGGGAACGATTTCGAAGGAAAACGTCGACCCTCCTTTTGGAGTGAGCTGATGTAAGACATTGACAGTTGGACTTTGGGGGTTTTTTGTGGTTTTTTTTTTCATGCAGTCGATATCCTTAGTGTAAGAGAGACCTATATCGCATATTGAGGATTAAAAAATGTCATATCTTTTGAAAAGTATTTTATTCTATGCTGTATATAGAAGAAATTGTGAAGTACATAACTAGAAGAAAGTAACTGTTAAAAGTGGAGAATACCTAAGTTGTCTAATACAGAAAAGGTTTTTATTTAATTTTTTCACGCATACACGATTCCAATTAGTGCTCTAAGTTACATTGTGGTGTTCATGTATTTCAATGTATTTTTGTATTCAGCCGCTTAATTTGTATTTGCTTTTTTTGTATTGATGTAACTGCAGTACTTGTATTCATGGTGTCTTTATGACATTTTTAACAAAAAAATTAAAAAGGGTACAGTTAAAGTCTGGTGACGACTGTGATGTTGGCAGCTACTTCAGCCTCGGGGAAAGATGAAGGTGACTAAAACCGGCTCTAGTGTAGGCGCCGCTTTACGGCCCAAGGGCCCTGGGTTTTTTAAGCTAACTTCATACTGAATCCACACGGAGCCCATTCACTGCGTGGCTCCCCCAGCTCCTCCTGCCGTGCTTCTCGGCAGCGCTTGGAGGAACGTTGTCGCGCGTGTGTCTTTAATTTCAGAAGATGTTGCATGCCCCGAGCACGGATTGTCCTTGAAGCCTCTTCTTGTTTTGCCTTTTGGGTTGCTTTTTATATCGAGGAAATGTAGTCGCACCTAAGCTAGCTGCATTTACAAATAAAAATTTTCCGTCTGCTCAACCGCCATCTGGTTCCCACCCACTTGGAATGTTTCTTTGCCTTAAGTCTCTTCCTCCGTGGACCTCATCCTCTTTGGGTCTGTTAACCAGCCCAAGGAACACTTGCGGCTGGGGTGCTGTGGTTTTTGTTGCAGACTCCAGAGTTTTGGGTTCTTGTGCCTTTGAGACAAGCAGGCAAGAATGAAGAGTGTCTCGCGTCAGTGAGCAGAGCTTGGATGAACCGAGGGAAGCTGCTGAGCTCCACCTGTGTGCCAAACATGGCAGAGGAGGCATTGCCAATAGTGCTTTCAGTTTGCCTTCCTCATTTCCCAGAGTATAAATCGCATTGAGTTGGTGGTATTTTGAACCACGCTCACTCGAAATAATTGAAAACTACGTTACAGACGTGAAACTTGGTTGTTATTTTGGAATTGTCTCTAAGTCCTGCATAATACTTCTTTTTATTTCTTCATCCGCTCTGACAGGTTTGGTTGTTCAGGAACTTCACAAAGGAAACAAGCCAGTGGAGAAAAACAGAAATAGCTTGGGAATAGCACAGTTCTTGCAGCGTGGTGATGGTGGTGTCACTGAATTGGGTTCTTTGTTGTGGTTTTTTTGAAAGTGCTTCAATAGGAAGAGTCAAAGGAAAAGCTTTGGTACCAAGAGCAAAATGACACGCCTCGCAGCTGAGGTAATTGAAGGATCTCGGGTGGTTGGATGATGGTGATGGACCCCTTTTGGAGTTGTAGGGGGATGCACAGTGCTGGCTCCTCCTGACTTTGGAGACCCTCTGCCACCTCAGTGTCTTTAATACAATTCTTTATTTACAGAAAAGAACGTGTACAAAGCAGGGAGGAAATGGGATTTGGAAGGAGCCAGCTCCTCCTGGCAGCTGTGTCTCCATGGGTAACTGCCTCCTTCCTTCTTTCTTCTAGATCCTGGCACGAGCAACAATTCCCTCCACTGTGAAACGTGGGGAGCGGTAATGGGGAGCAGCTTGGGCTGTGAAGTGGGTGATCTTCAGCGTTCAACGTTTTACTCCGGGTACAGGAGAGTTCTGGGGATGAGAGAGATTTGGGGAGAAAAGTCGTTTCTCAGCAGGATCTGCAAGGGCAGCTGGTGAGACAAAACGCTCCCCAGATGTGAAAGAGTAAATACGAAAAGACTAAAATGTTTGTCTGTCAGCTCTCTGGGCTGCAGAAAATCCTGAGCTTTGCTAGGTCACCATCTGCTGGTTGCTGCCCCACGATAAAAATACTTGTAGGGAGATTTCTGGCCTCCCTAGCTAGCCTGTTTTAAATTTTTTCTTTCATGCTGAAGAGACTCCAATCCTTCATGTTGTGAAGTAAATAATTTTATTCTTGCAAAGTGGAGAATATTTAAATATGCTCCGCTCTAGCAGAAATCCCTTCCTGTTTCTACGTCCATCCATCTGTCCATAATTTTATGTCCTTTAATACATTTTGGATGCTTGGGGGTATTGCTGGTCTGAGGTGATAGTTCTTGCATCAGTGTGGGTTCAGTTTTTGCCCGAGTCTTGCGGAGCCCTAGTTCATCCCTGTCTGAGTTTAAAGACTCCTTGGCTCTGTGCCACCACAGGTTTTTTCTCCACCTCATGCAAAAAGCAGCTATTTCTTCTTCTTCAGAGTTGGGCGGAGGCTGTCGCAAACCCTGGTAGGAGGGAAAAAGAAAAAAAAACATTTCCATGCTTTAATATGTTGTTGGACAAGGGGAGAGTCCGTTTGGATTTGTGCTCATTTCCCAAGTGCTTTCAGAGAAAATCTGCTCTCACCAACTATTTACAGTTGGGTCAATCAGCCGTCATTTCCAGCTGCAAGGGCAGGTCCTGGGAGTTTTGATCAAAGCTTAACTTGAGATCTCTGATGAGATGCTGCTGCTTAACTTACTTTGACACACGCTGCCTCGGCTGCCTTCAGAATGTGTGAAACTGCTTGAATTAAGTTCCGTGCGTTGCTCACGAGCAGCTCAGAAGAGGACTTGCTCTCCCCGGTGACTGCTTTGACCCTGCAAAGACATTTTAAAGGGTTTTGCGTTGGGCAGTGAGTGGAGAGGGAGCTCCCTGAACTGTAAGTCAAAGGGCTACAGCCAGATCCAACAAGGACCTCTGGAGACCACTGAGCACGTCTCTTTGAACCACCGCCAGCCTCAGGAGAGATTGTCCTTGATTGTGACGACTCACCTGGCCACGATGGCAAGCTGGCTGCCGACAGTGTGGGTGAGCTCCACGGCACGCAGCAGCTCAGCGGAGCACCTCGTGTCGAGGCAGTGCTTGGCGACGATACAGCCGAATTTCGTGAATGCTTGCGCGTTGGAAGCGATTCGCCTTGCGCAGGCGACGAGCTGCTCCTTGCTCTAAACCAAAATAGAAAGAAATGTGTTTTGGAGGGGCAGAAGAAGGAATAAAAAAAATAAAATCACTTCTCTTGCAAGGCGGGGGGAGGGTCCAGGATGCATTCTGAAATGAGGGAAGGACTGGATGCCAAGTTCGTATCTCCTCAGGAGGAAGTATTTTCTAGTGCTTTGCATAAATATAGCTGGTGCACTTTTAGAAGAGCAGGGTAGTGTAGGGGTTTCAGTGCGCACTGGGCTTTGACCGTGCTCTTGAGGCAAAAATGTGCTGGGGCAGGACAGGTTAAAATGCTCTGTACCGTGATGGGGCCCTTCTTCTTCAGGAACTGGGTCATGTGCAGCATCCTGGTTGCCATGTCCTTGGTGAGCTGGAACATCTTGCCGGGGCCACCCTGCCACGTGTCACCAGGTTCTCTCTCATGCTTCGCAAGGCTGCTGACAAGATTGATGCCGGGAAGACTGCTCTGGTGCTGTCAAGACAAGAACTGAAGAGATTCAAACTCGGGAGCATGCAGGCACACCAACGCTGAGAAATGTCTGCCAGCGTGTTTCTTGAAGCCGTTTTGGGTGAGTGAAGGAGATGGGAGAGCTGCCTGCCACCTCGCTCTGACCTTCCCAAGCAGCCCTTCTGCCCTCTGCCTTCACCCATGGTGGGATTATCATTTCTTGGAGCTATCTCCAAACGGGTGGGAGCCATCGTGCGAGCTGAAAGCGCTGGTGTTGAGAAGCACGATTAAATGCTGTAAAGCGCTCTGCTGAGGAATCGGGGTCACGTCACTGCAAAGCCTTTGCCAGCTCCTGACACCTGACAGCGGTTGTTGTGGGAGTGGAGTTGCTAGGAGTCATGTGGGGAGGGGAGCTGAGCAGAGGCAGGTAGTGTTTCAGGGGAGGGAGAGCAGCACAGCCCCCATGCTCCTCAGAAACAGCCTTTTGGAGGTGGGTTTATTCATGCAAGAGCATGTGTCAGATCAGGTATCTGGAACTCAGCAGAACCGGGTGGCCAGCAACCTGATCTAACCATGAAGGTGGCCACAGGGTCAGACTATTTGACCTCCAGAGGTCCCTGCCAGCATCACTTATCTTAATGCTCTGCAGCATGGGTACCAGGACTGACCGACTGCCCTGACCATCACCCCGCAGTAAGTGTTGATGAGGTTGGAAAGAAGCTATTGTACCATATCATGTGCCTCCTTGACAGCTCCACTTGCTTCTCTGCTCCTGCTCGGGCAAGTTTCTGCTGCCGGGGTGTGAGCATCAAGCTCTCGGGCTGGGAAGATCTCGTCCATGCTGCCACATTGTCTTGGAGAGCCCCGGTCCCCCGCATTCTGCAAGCATTTTGTGATGTGCTGCAGAAGGTGCCCGCTGATGCCCTGGACAGCCCGAAGCTGCGTGAGGAGATAGCGTGCTTTCGCTGACCAGTACCAGACAATACTGTCTAGGCGGAGGTGCCCTTCATCCCCGCGGCTCTGGAAAAGCTGCCTGGCGCCGTCCACTGCGTTGGACGTGAGGACCAGGAGGTGGTCTGCCACAGAGAGCAGGTTCGCCTGCAACTGCAGCTGAGAGCTGGCCTCCAAAACCTCTTGGAGAGTGGTTTTGACCCACTGAATGTTGGCCATCAGCCGACTTGCTTTCTCTTCAAAGGCCTGTTTGCTCCTCTCCCCATCCTCTAGAGAGAGCGAGGACAGGGCTGGTCCCACAACATCTCGGATGACCTGCAGGTGGTCGGTATTGACCTCCTCCAGGTGGAGCAATAATGCCTTGGCCCTGAGGGCCAAGTCCCTCTGCAGGAGCTCAAAACGAACGTACAAGCTGGCAGTAGGCAGCGGGGAG